CCAATGCACCGGTCAAATGAAACCCATTCAAACCAACACAATTGTTCAATCTAATCGGTCTAGAACAAATGCCATAAATACTATTTTAATAGATAATTACCAAACTACCCTTGTCTAACTTATATTTTCCAACAGATTCTAGAATAGTTTTACCATAGTATATAAGTTACAGTAGGGTTCAATGTAAAATAAGCCACCTTATGCATTCTCTCTTTGTGAGAGTTCTTAATCAAAATTGGTTTTTGATTACTTATTGTTCTTTATTGTTTGATATTTTGTTTTTACGTTCATACATTGAACATCACTGGGTTCAGAATCTATTTCGGGTACCATATGTGGTTGGGGTTAGGATTGGAATTAGGTTTGAGATTGGATTTGGAAATAGGGTTAGGAATAGGCTTGAAATTAGGGTTGGAGTGAAATCGGAATTGGGTTTCTAGAATGTTCTCAAATGGGGTGAAATCACTTTGGGATTGTAATTGAGATTGAGTTTGAAATTGGGGTTGAGATTGGAATCGAGGATGAAATTGGCTAGGATATGAATTGTAGTATGAATCGACACCAGAATAATAGAAAGTAAAGGTGAAACAATAATGCGATCCATCTAAGGTTGGTAGAAGACGGGTGATGAAGGTTTTGAAGTAGTTGTATTTTGAGTATTTTTTTTTTTGGTTCAGCTTGGAATTTTTTGGTTGGAGGAAACCATTTTCACCAAAATAAGAAGAATGTTTGAGTGAAATATGGAGAATATTGAAAATCGTGGTGTGATATAAAATTGGATAGATGTTGACATCTATATTGGTTGAAAGAGGATTAAAAATTTAAATCTTGGTTGAAAAAGACGGATAGTTTTTTTGAAAATTGGTAAAAAATTAATTGGTTTTTTAATTTGAATATTCTCTCTGCTATGTTAGCTGTTACCGAGCTCCACTGTCAAGCTCAACATATTTAGGCCAAGGCGCGATATACATCGAAACAACCTCAACTCATGTCGAAGTGTTGCCGAGCCACTATGTAGAACCAAACGTTATTTTGACCTCAATAAAAATATAAAATTTATTTCATAAACAAGCTTTAGTTACAATCATCATTATTGTGAATCCCACTCAATTATTTTAAAATCTTGCAAGACCTAAAGAAATGATGAGATAGATGTTAGAAACTTGAAAGTTTTATGAGTCTCGCAACGCAAAGCAACGCAACACTTGGCTCAGCACCTTCGTCCCTTGGGTCGCCTAGTTACCCTTCTTCTTCATCATCCCCTATCCCCCACTTCAGGTGCTCTTATACACACCCATATTTTATACATAAAGTTTTACACTCTCTCTCTATCTCTTCCCAATCTTGCTCATGCAAAGAATCTTCATTCCACCCTTCACTTCACCCCACCGATCTTATCTAACATAATTCAAACAACAAACCCAATTCCAATTTCCAGGGTTGCAAGATTTCCAGGATCTGTTGCCCCTACCTCCGTAAACTCCCAGATTCCTGTCATTTCCAATTCGGAGGCGGGACCGAATGCAAGTTTATTTGATTTGAAAGGCATAAAACACACGAAGCTCTACGAAATTGATTGATGTGAAGAGGGTTCGCTTTTTTGTTTTTTATTGTTGGTTTACTAGGGTTAAGTGATCGTCTCGGGTTTTCAATTTGAGATCTGGATGATAGATTCTGAATTCAGAGGCTGATAAAGAAATTGATTTGCAAAAGATGGACATGGATTATAATGGGGATGCGGGTTTTCTTGACCCTGAATTGTTACAGCTGAATGAAGTGTCTCCTTTGGCTCTTAAGTCAAATCCTTATGTTGCCGAGAAGCTGTTCGAGCAATGGCTTTCCCTTCCGGAAACAACTCTTTTGGTAATACTATATGACTAATCTTTCTTATCGTCCCTAATCTCTGTACCTTATTGATGTTTTCTTCATCTTAGTATATTAGCTGTTGTTTGGTTTCTGTAAGATGTAGCTAGACTAAGGTGGCAAAGTGGTGGATGATAGATTCTGAATTTCAATGCCCTTTAGTCCTTTACTGTGTTGATCAACAGTTTTGTTATTTCATCTAACTCACTTGAGTGAGCAACACATTAACCCTTTACAAAAACTGCATACACCAATTGGAAACCCGTATTTTGCCTAATGTTTGGAAGGTTTGTATGCATTAAATGTCGGTTGGCTATGTTAGGCACACCATGTGTTATGAAATAGGGATGTTGAAGGAAAGACAATAATGGCATAAACAAACAAGACTTGGAATTATATGAAGTCAGTTAGAGAGCTGCTCGGTGAACATTGTCTAATTAGTTTATTAGTAGAAACTGTTGCTTAGGTTTGTAATTATAGCATGATGTCATATGATTGTAATCACAATCAATGAGGTCTTTACTTTAATAGTCTTTTACTAAATTTTGGTTTTAGTGTCCAAAGTTCACTTTCAGTTTTGTTACCATGTTGATTCTGAAAGCATGTGTTATGCTTTTTACAAAACACTTGTGTAGAAATGAAATTGGTGATGATATTTTGTGTGTTGATGGCTGTAGGTGAAATCATTGTTTAACAATGCTAAAGCAGGTGTTCCATTGAATGTAAGTGGATCAGTTTCAAGCCCAAAAGCTTCTTCCATGAACTCAATACCTTCCATGTTTCCTGCTGGAAGTGCACCTCCACTTTCACCAAGAAGCTCATCTGGTTCTCCTCGGATCACAAAACAGAGGGCAGGTCCTTCTGTTTTAGGGTCTCCTTTAAAAGTACTGAGTGAGCCAGTTAAAGAGTTGATACCTCAGTTTTACTTTCAGAATGGGCGTCCACCTCCTAATGAACTTAAAGAAAGATGCTTGTTTAGAAGCAACCAGTTTTTCTATGGTCATCCGGATGGATTACAACTGCATGAATTCAAACTGCTTACTAAGGAAATTTGCAAACTGCCTTCCTTCTTCTCCACTGCCCTTTTTAAAAAGATTGATGTTGATGGCACTGGTGTTGTCACAAGGTATCCTTTCTTTGAAAAAAGAGTTGTGTTTTGATGTTATAAATTATCTTGTATTTGAGCTCCTTAACATGGCTGCAGGGATGCGTTTGTTGATTATTGGGTGAATGGCAACATGTTGATAAAAGATGTTGCAACCCAAATATATACAATATTGAAGCAGCCTGATTTGAGATATCTCACTCAGGTATTTCTTACTTTCTTCTATCCATTAAGTCATGTAACAAACATCCTTTTTTGTGGGCTTATTGTTATTATCACCAGCAAGTAGTCACATTGATAGAACAACTCCTTCCAAAAAGAAAAGCATTATATATATAGTATATATATTAAGATTTAGTATGAATTATGATATTCTTGTATGTATTTGAATTTTGAGGTGTTTGTTCTTTTACCTGATTGTTTGGAAACTGTACAATAGGAGGATTTTAAACCCATACTTCGGGAACTATTGGCAACTCATCCAGGTTTGGAGTTCTTACAGAGTACACCCGAATTTCAGGAGAGATATGGTATGTTCTATTTCTATCAATATCTTATTTACTTCAAACATAACATGCTCAAAGCCTTAACTTCCATAATTAAGTATAAACAATGCTGATAAATCAATAACTTGGTGTGCATCTACTTTAGCAAATGAACATGGACTCACTCACCTCTCCCCAAATGTTGATCTAGACTCTAGAGTAATGAAATCACGCATGAATGTCCGATCACATGATCTTAGTTGCTTTAATCTTTTTTTTTTTTTTTTTTAAACATCGGAGTTGTATTTATTGATATAAAATAATGTTTATGATTGGTTTGGTGTGAATTGTGATGAGCAGCTGAAACGGTTATATACAGAATTTTCTACTACATGAATAGAGCAGGTGATTCACGTCTTACCCTTAGAGAACTCAAACGTGGAAATTTAGTTGCTGCAATGCAGCATGCAGATGAAGAAGAGGACATTAACAAAGTTTTAAGGTAATCATAGTAATATCATCATCATCATCTTTCTTTACTAGATTAATATCATGATTGATTTTTTGGCTACAGATATTTCTCTTATGAGCACTTCTATGTAATTTATTGCAAATTCTGGGAGCTGGACACAGATCATGACTTCTTGATAGATAAAGAGAACCTTATACGATATGGTAATCATGCACTCACATACAGAATTGTTGACAGAATATTTTCACAGGTTTGTGTTTCTTAATCTTTTTTCTTTTTGTTTTCTATCTGCTGCTTTTCTTTTTAATTCTCCATGAATGTCTCAATCTCTCAGGTACCCAGAAAGTTTACCAGTAATGTTGAAGGAAAAATGGGATATGAAGATTTTGTTTATTTCATTTTATCCGAAGAAGATAAATCATCAGAGCCGAGTCTGGAATACTGGTACTACTGTACTTACCTTTCTTCATGATTGATTAGATTTAGATTTAGTCATTTAGTCATTTAGTAAAAAGTTTTGTTTGATTTGATTTCAGGTTCAAGTGTGTAGATTTAGATGCAAATGGTGTGATTACAAGGAATGAAATGCAATTCTTCTATGAAGAACAGTTGCATCGCATGGAATGCATGGCCCAAGAGCCTGTTCTTTTTGAAGACATTTTGTGTCAAATAGTTGACATGATTGGACCAAAGGTAAACAAACTAGTGTTAATTTTGTTTGCATGAGTATTTTAATACTAATAAAATATGGTTTGGTTTATTTGGTGTGCAGGATGAAGGGTATTTTACATTAGGTGACATGAAAGGAAGCAAACTTGCAGGAAGTGTTTTCAATATCCTTTTTAATCTGAACAAGTTCATGGCATTTGAAACACGTGATCCGTTTCTGATACGTCAAGAACGTGAGAATCCAACATTGACAGAGTGGGACCGGTTTGCACATCGGGAATACATACGGCTTTCAATGGAGGAAGATGCTGAAGACGCCTCTAATGGTAGTGCAGATGTCTGGGATGAATCTCTTGAAGCCCCTTTCTGATTTTAAGGTAACTTACTTCCCCTCCCCTCCCTCTTTTTTATCATTATTATTTTCTTGACATTTATGTTTTTGGATGAAAGGTGAATGAAATTGAAGAATTCTTTAATTTAAGCTTGTGGGTGTGGGTGTGGGTGATAGAAGGTTGTAAAGTTTTTGGGATTAGCGGAGTGAGGAAGGAGGATGTAGATGATATGATGTGGTTTCATAGTTGTTGTTGCAGTTGCATGGTGAATGGAAGAAGATGATGATGTTGTTTTGAGGTTGAGGTGCTTTAATTGGAAGCATTTATTAGTAGTGCCCTTTGAATAGTTGCTCTGTTTGACTTTGACTTTGACTTCTACCAATAGATGTTTATGTTTTTTTTTTTTTTTTTTTTTTTTTTTTTTTCTATTTATACAATTTGTGCATCAAACATTTTCTGAATGGGGTCTAGTGTTTGTATTTAATATGTTTGAAATTGAATGTTTTTTGTTTTTAATGTCAAAATAGAAATATAAATTCCATTTCACCTATTCTTTTTAAACAAAAAGGGTCAATTGTATTGTATGTAAAAGAATTTATCTTTAGTCGGTTTTTATTTGAAAGAATGTACTTTCTAAATCAATGTTGCAACGTTGTAAAAAGAGAAAAAGAAAAATAATTGTATCAATCAATATACGATAAACGATTATAACCAAGAGTTCACTCTTGTAAACTAAACACAAAATAACAAAAATTTAAAGAATAATCCCTAGATCTTGAAGCATAATTCCAATGTGATGTCTCACTTTTTTTTTTTAAATATATATATTCTAAGTTTTGTTACTTTTGTGATTAGAAGTTTGTGAAACAAAATGTCATTATATATAAATATATCATGTAATCATGTAATAAAAAATTCATATAATTCAAAAAAGTTACAAAAGACCCATAACTTTGATACCAAACCAAACCATATTTAGTCTAGTAATCTAAATATATGATTAGCATAAGTTGGAAACACCAAAAGCAATGTTGAAAATTTGAAAGAAATAAAAAGCAAAAGGGCATCTATATTAATACTTTTAGATTATTAGTTGTAACACTAACACATTGGCTTTCACAAATCACAAAAAAACAACTCTTTATTGCCACGCTGTGTCAGGATCAGCACCACATGAGATACAGAGTGAAAAGAGAGAGAGAGAGAGTAGCTTGACTCTTGAAAGAGGGTAAATAAGAACAACAAAAAGTAAAAAAGAAATATAAAAAGTAAAGGGAGGATAGTCTAGATAGATGCCCACTTTCATAGTTTCATTGCTCCATTTGAACAAAAATCGTCTGCAAAAAACACCATAAAGAAGAAAACCACCCCTCTTACTTTGAGTTTAGAGTTAGAGTAATTACATTATACACTGGTCTCTTCCATAAAAAGGAGAGAGAGAAAAAATCGAGATCTGATTTGGGTCAGTGAGTTGCCTCTGAAGAACAACAACATGACGATCCATATGCATCGCCATAGATAGACCTTCTGAAAGCTTTTCGCTTTTTCCCTTTTAGTTCCCATTCAAGAAAACCCATTAAATTGTTTAGATCGATTCAACTCCTACAGGTATCTATCTTTCTGCTAATTTATTCTTTCTCTTTCTTCTTCGAGCTAAACTATGTTGAAAAGTATCAATCTTTACCAAAACCCAACTCAGTTTTTCTGGATTTCTAGTTAAGTATTTCGATCGTAGGTTTCAGGAATGGGATAATTTCTTAAAAAACAAGACGGATCTGTTTTCTTAGTCGAATTATCTAACTTATTATCGGTGTTATACTTCACTGTACCTTTTGTTTTTAGATTGAGCAAGAGAGTTTGAGCATGCTACGGAAGAATTTGTAGATGAACACAAAGATTCAAATGGAAGATTGGTCAAAGTATTCCCATAGTCCTGCTCATTTAGCTGTAGTACGAGGTGACAATACAGCCCTCAAGAACATTATCTCAATCCTCCCTCGCTTAGCAAAAGCAGGCGATGTTACAACCGAAGCCGAATCAATAGCCGCCGAATCAGATGCCGATGCCGTCTCAGCCGTAATCGACCGCCGCGATGTTCCATTCCGCGAAACCCCTCTTCATTTAGCTGTTCGTCTGAAAGATCCAGTTTCAGCCGAGATTTTAATGGCGGCTGGAGCAGATTGGAGTCTTCAAAACGAAAATGGATGGAGTGCACTTCAAGAAGCTGTATGTAATCGAGAAGAAAACATAGCCATGATCATCGCTAGACATTACCAGCCTCTCGCATGGGCTAAATGGTGTCGTAGGCTTCCTCGTATCACCTCTTCTGCTTCCCGGATTCGTGATTTTTACATGGAAATAACTTTCCATTTTGAAAGCTCTGTGATTCCGTTTATAGGCAGAATCGCTCCTTCTGATACTTACAGGATTTGGAAACGTGGGTCGAATCTTCGAGCTGATATGACACTTGCTGGATTTGATGGGTTTAGAATCCAAAGATCTGATCAGACTTTCATGTTTTTAGGAGATGGGTTTTGTTCTGAAGATGGTAAAGTCTCGTTGCCTCCTGGTTCTTTAATCGTGCTTTCTCATAAAGAAAAAGAAATCACAAACGCATTAGAGGGAGCTGGAGCACAGCCTTCTGAATCTGAAGTTGCTCATGAAGTTGCATTAATGTCTCAAACAAACATGTATAGACCTGGAATCGATGTTACACAAGCTGAACTTGTTCCTCATTTGAATTGGAGGAGACAAGAAAGAACAGAAGTTGTGGGCCCATGGAAAAGCAAGGTTTTTGATATGCTTCATGTGATGGTGAGTGTGAAATCAAGAAGGGTTCCTGGTGCCATGACAGATGAAGAGCTTTTTTCCACAAATGATAATGAAAGGGTAACTGGAAATGATGAATATGATGATGTTTTGACACCTGAAGAAAAAATGCAACTGGATTCAGCCCTAAAGGGAGGGAATCCAGATGGGATTTGTGATGATGAAGAACATGAAAATGGTCATACAGGTTCATCTGGAAACATTGAATCGAATGGTGTAACAAAAGATAAAAAAGGTTGGTTTGGTTGGAACAAGAAAGGTTCAAAAACTGGAGGTGGAGGTGATGATGATCATGAGGACTCAAAGATTTTAAAGAAGTTTTCTAAGTTAAATGATAGTCAACAAAAGTCTTCATCTGAGGACAATGGGGAGGGTAAAAAGGGGAAAGATAAGAGTGGTAAGAAGAAAAAGAAGAAAGGATCTGTGACAGAGGGTAAGCATGAGAGTGAGTATAAAAAAGGGTTGAGGCCTGTTTTATGGTTGACACCTGATTTTCCATTGAAAACGGATGAGCTTTTGCCTTTACTTGATATTTTAGCTAATAAGGTGAAGGCCATAAGGAGATTAAGGGAGCTTTTAACTACTAAACTACCTCAAGGCATGTTTCCAGTCAAGGTACTTCCTTTTTCTGTTATCTTTTGCTCTATTCCTTTTTTGTTAGTTTGTAATGTGATTATAGATTGTTTTTTGTCTTTACTTTACTTATGCATAACCTTGCTTTTCAAGTCGAAAGAACGACTTAATAGAGAAAGACAGGAAAAATGAGGCTTTTCCCATTAAGTCATAACTTTTTGCAAATTTGCTTTTGATTATCTTTTCCTTCTTAATGTTGTTACTAAAAAGTTGTTCAAAGAATATTTGGGAAAATAACAGTGTACTTGGGAAAATTGAAGGAAAAAGTAAATTAGGGAATATTGGAAGTTTGTATGACAAAAACATAAACATGATCATGATCTATCTGTTATTGCAGATTGCAATTCCAATTGTACCAACAATTAGGGTTCTTGTAACATTTACAAAATTCGAGGAGCTACAACCTCCATCAGAGGAATTTTCAACCCCTCTATCAAGTCCAGCTCATTTCCAAGATGCTAATAAATCCAAAGAAGCAGAAGGATCAGGTTCATGGATCTCATGGATGAAAGGGGGAGGTCAATCAAGTGACAATGAAGCTAGCAGCAGCTTTAGAGATGAAACAGATCCATTTAATATTCCATCAGATTACATGTGGGTGGATGCTAATGAGAAGAAACGTAGGATGAAGGCTAAGAAAGCTAAGATTAAGAAACATAATAAGAAGCAGCAGTCAGCAGCTAGGAATCTTGAAAATGGAAATGGTGGAGAACGCAGAGTAAATGAAGAACTGGAATAAGTGTGGTTGAGTTGGATTTAGCAACAAAGATAAGATGAATCGTGTTCTTTATTGGGTTTGATTGAGGATGATGGGATTTTAGGGTTTTAAGTTGTTGAAATTGAGTAAGAAGAGGTATATGATCTTCTTGTTTGTTGTTCCATTGTTGTAACTTGTAATTTTAGTTTTGAAATTTGAAATGTGATGCTGAAAAATTGAAATTCAGTTGGGTTTTTGGGTACCATGTTTTGTGACTCTGAAACATGGTGCATTGATATTTATTTTATATTATTATTATTATGTTGTTTACTTGTATTTTCTTTTTTGTAAAATGGGTTAATTAAATTATATACAGTTTGTTAGTGTTGGTGATATTTTCTTGTACTATGATTAAATCATCAGTTCATTCATTAAAAATTGAAAAATACATATGTAATTTATATAATTCTAAGAGGACAAGTATGGGCATTACCAATACATTTATCAAGAATTCAAGATAGTACATGCATCACACAATAATGCAAGATATTTTTAGCACTCCACTTGTATAGTTGTATAATATTAGACAAATTTGAGGTCAAGTAAAAATCCATCCAAAGGTAAGAAACTTGTACTCGATATAAATGTGAATTTTGTTCATTCTAAAAACAAATTTTGGCATGTGACATTTTTTCATAATAAGTTGTTTAAACATGGATACTTCGTGACAATATATGATAAGAAAATGATTTGATATTTTATTACTTGTTTAAACATGGATACTTCGTGACATTTTTTCCAGGTGAGCTTATTAGTAGCATCCATGATTTGATATTTTATTAATTGTTTTATTATTATTATTAGGGGTGTTGATCGGGTAATTTTTTCGGGTTTCGGGTAATTCGGGTTTTTCATGTTAAAAAAATACCCGTTACCCGACCCAAATTAAATTCGGGTAATTCGGGTTTGGGTAATTCGAGTATCGGGTCGGGTTTGGGTAATACCCGAATTATATAATTTTTTTTTTTTGAATTTCACCTGAAAATAAATTTAATGAAATAAATATGTCGTGCTTTATTAGTCTTGTTTATATAAACAAACGAGACATAAACAAAGTTACTCAAGCTTTGAACATTAAGATTTTTTAGTCAATAATACCTGAGATATCAAGTAATTTTTTAACAACTTAATCTAATCTAATAAGATGTTAAAAAAACAAATACTTAAAGATCTTAATTTAAAAGTTTAAAATGTTTAAGATAATTGTAGCCATAAGTTTTGCCATGTTCTGAAGTTTCGTCGAGATAATGAGTTTGTTAGTTGCAATAAAAACTATAATCTAGAAAACAGTTAAGTTTTAAAGAACAAGATGATATATAAACAATTACTTTTAATATTGTTAGTGTCATATTTTCATAATAAAAGAAATTCATATTTTACAATAATGATAGTTAGTTTAAGCGTGATCAAATACCTGCTACAGAGTACAAGCTCTACGAAAAAAAAATTTAAATAATTCGGGTAATTCGGGTATACCCAAAACCCAACAAACGTACCCTTTACTCGACCTGAAAAAAAATCGGGTTACCCGATTACCCGAAAAAATTTACCCGATACCCGAAAAAATCGGGCGGGTAA